AATGGAACCTCTCTCTGATACCACTTTGTTGGAATGGAAAAGCTTTTAGGAAATGACAAAGGCTAAAAAATAACTTATGGAAGAAGCTTCACTCTTATTTAACACCTTAACTTGGCTTGATACAAACTCAAAGGCTTCACCCCTATTTATACTAGTGGCACCTCCTAAATTAATGGCTAAGATTGTGCCACCACAATTACAATCCAATGGTTACAAATAATTCCAACCTACCACACAATAATTCAACACCTACCACACCTACCACACCTACTACACAATAATTTCATACCTACCACATATTCTAGAATAAGCTTATAGAAATTAAGCTTTATTTAAACAACTAAAACAAGTTTATATTTCAACAGGTTGTAGTTCAGATTTGAGAATATGCAGTCCCGGAGCAAGCCGGCCAACCCGGAGCAATTATCCCTGTCTCCACCAATGTTTACTGCACGTTACATGCACACATACCATTCAGTGAAGTTTAGGCCGCATGCCCCTCCCCTCATGAAAGAGGGGAAGTTTAAATAGCAGAACAACGTAGGCAGTTCTCGGTTCTAACCTGCACCGGAGCCGATTAGCATCGGTGGTCCATTGTAGTACAATTGTTGATCCGTATAGAATTGGGGGTTTGTAGTACAAATGTTGGCTATTACTCCTGTTGCAAATAATCCAGAAACTGCTTGTGGTCATAATTGCCTGAAAGCCTGCTCTCTAGAGTTAACAAGAGTATCTGTGATGTTGTTGTGGATTTTGTGCATTTGACCATTTCATTCGCTGCTCCCTCATCATATATAGAAAACTTTTTTTTTATATTTTTTTAGTCATGTGTCAAAATAATTCGTTTATTAGCTCCAATCTATTCTCATCAACCATAATCATACCATCCTCTTTTTCTTCTCTCTCTCTCTTTCTATTACCATGAGTTCTTACGATAAGAATTCGAGTCATTTTCCCAAATATTCGTTTGATGATGATGAAATTCTGTTGAATCGTCTTCTCTAATATTTGTTTGATGATGATGAAATTTTGTTGGATTATCCTCCCCAATATTCGTTTGATGATGATGAAATTCTGCTATAAAATTTTTTAAAACTGCTGCCACACATCTCTCTTGATGTAATTCTCTACAATCAGGTTCTATATGTTTATTTATTATTTATTATGAGCTTTTAATGTTTTTAATGTCATTTATAACGGTTTCGTTGCTTTTAAATTTATTTATTTATCAAATATGAAGAAATTTGATCCAGTATTACTTTAATTAAATTCCAGTAGTTAACCTTTTAGTGTAATGATATATATAAATATATATTGTTGTAAACTAGGGGCCCATAGGCT